ATATGCTGATGAAAATATTAACTAGGTAATTGAGGTTATAGTTTTCTGTTAACTTTTTTTTTTTTTTTTGGTAGTCGGGTTTGAACTCGATGCTTAGCCTTATGCTTGCTAAATAAGCTGTACCACTTGAGCCATGCCCCTAGCCCTGTTTGCTTTTAGTTATGTTTTAGATAGTCTTGAGTTTTCTGCCTGTCCTGGTCTTGAACTATGGCCCCTCTAATCTCACCTTCCAAGTAGTTGGAATTACAGGCATGAGCCACTGTGCTTGATCCTTCTGTTAACTTTTGAATAGTCTATGTTAGGACTTTTTCATCTTGTGACTAATTCTTAATATTGTATAGGCAGTCTTTTAGGGCTATTTGCCCATTTTAACAAGTTCCTTACCTGAGCTGTGGCTATGATTTCTGAAATAAATTTATCTTCTTTCTTGGTCTTCAAAAATAGAATAAGATAAAACTTCATTTTGTTAAACTCTAGGAAGGAAGAAGATTTATATTCTAGTGAAGAGTAGAAAGGTTTCTGGGTGCAGGTGGCTCAAACCTGTAATCTTAGCTACTTGGGAGGCAGAGATCAGGAGGATTGTGGTTTGAAGCCAGCCCAGGCAAATTATTTGTGAGACCTTATCTTGAAAACACCCAACACAAAAAAGGGCTGGCAGAGTGGCTTAAGTGGTAGAGCATCTGCCTAGCAAGTGTGAGGCCCTGAGTTCAAACCCCAATGCCACCAAAAAAAAAAAAAAGAAATGTATATTTTAAAATGCCATTATTATTTGAGGGGTTGGGGGGGGCACTGTTTCATATATGAAGAAAAGAAAAATGAAAAAGGTCTGGCATTTTATGTATATATTATATATACATACACATATATATATATATATATATATATTTTTTTTTTTTTCATTGTGTGAAATTATAATGCTCTGTCTTTAGGGATTTGCAGCAAAGCATTGCCAGAGAACCTAGCGCTCCTTCAATTCCTACCCCTGCATATCAGTCTTCTCCAGCAGGCGGGGGACATGCAACAGCTCCTCCAACACCAGCTCCAAGAACCATGCCGGTTAGTAAGCCATGTGCATTTTTCAGGATGAAAGGTGACATTAGGGACTGCTTGCCTGTTGTGAAGGAATAAGCAGACTTTACATTGGAGGGATCTAGTGGTCACTTGTGTCAGTGTTCAACCTTCTGATGTTTTGCAATATGTAGGACTCAGCATCGCTCGTAAATTCTTGTAAAAAATGTTTAAGCTGAGTCTAATCAAGAAGTTAGAGCTTTCTATTTATAGCAAATACTGTGATTAAAAAGTTAAACAGTGCCTTTAGGAAACAATTGGACAAATCTAGAACATGAGAAGTATGAGATACTTGGATTGGTGTTTTCTAAAATACATAGGAAAAAAAGGGAGGAGGTGGCGTTCTGGATTAAAATAACCAAAAGGTTCATTATAATTAAATGCAGTACATGTACATTGATTTGAATTTGATTCATTAAAACAGCTATAAGAGCTTTTTTGTGAAAGAAAGGGAAGGTTGAGGGCTGGGGATATAGCTCAGTGGTTTAGTGTTTGCCTCGCATTCATGAGGCCCTGAGTTCAATCCCCAGTACCACACACACACACACACACAAAAAACCCACATACACACAAAAAAAGAAGGTTGAATCTGGAGTAGATATTCAATGATACTGGGGAATAATTGTTAATTTTCTTAGGGTGAAAACGCTACCGTGATTTTGTAGACTGTCTTTATCAGGACTTGAGGGCTGATGTCTGGAGGGCTGGTGTTCAAAAGTTTGCAACTTATTTTCCAGTGGCTCTGCAAATATGTAGATAAATATGTGGATATAGCTGTAGATGAAGTAGATACAGTAATGTTAATAGTTAACTGAATTTCATTGGTAGGTGTGTGGTTGTTTTGTTATTTTTTTAAGTTTGCAGATGTTTGAAGATCTTTATAGAAAGAGTTTGAGACCTGGGAGGATGAAATCACAGTAATAAGCCTTACCTTGATTCTTTTTTCCACCTTAAGTGTCTTACCACTGTTGGAAGCAGTAAATGGTTAGATTATTAGGCGTCGGAAAAGACTAGTGGCTATCATAAATTGGAGGATTATTCTTCTCCTGTGGTACATTTTTAGTGTAATAAGTCAATATTTAAGAATGGGAATTATCATTTATTTTAATTATAATTTGTAAAATAAATTATCATTTATTTTATTTTAATTAATAGCAGTTTGATAGACATATGAAATATTTTGTAGTAAGTGCTTCTTTTTTCTTACAGCCTGCTAAGCCCCAGCCCCCAGCCCGGCCTCCACCTCCTGTGCTTTCAGCAAATCGAGCTCCTTCTGCTACTGTTCCAGCTCCAGTGGGGACAGGGACTACTGCACCAGCTCCATCACAGACCCCTGGCTCAGCTCCCCCTCCACAGGCCCAGGGACCACCCTACCCTACCTATCCAGGATATCCCGGGTAAGACAGCAATATCATATATCCCAATAATGTTATTTTCTAGCTCTGGTTAACTTTTTAAAGACAAGTTCACCCTTGCCCTAGATGGAAGTGTTATAAATGAATAAGCTACATTATCATCTTATTAGGAATTAAAATAATGTGACAGTCACTTATTTGAGTAGTTGAATACCATTTCCTAGGCTTTTTAAATGTATATTTTTATTTTTTGCATGTTACTTTTATACTTTTATGTTAAACACATTTTTTCTGTGTGGAATTCAGTATGACTTCTCTTGGTGATAAACAGGTGCCTTTTCTTAGCAAGCTTGATAGGGCCTTGTTAACATACCTTTGAAATCTCGGTATTTAATAAACTGTTGAATAGAAATTTACCTAGTTACAGAATGTTCTTCTTAAAGGTTAGCTTTCTTTGTGGCAACTTCTTTCTTTCTTGTTTTTGTATTTTTTTTGGGGTGCCAAGGATTGAACCCAAGGCTTTGCACATTTTAGGCAAGTGCTTTACCACTGAGCTACATCTCCAGCAAGCTTTCTTCATAGTAATTTCTTAATTTTAAAAATCCAGACACTTGGCTGCCTTTTGTTAAGATATGCTCTAAATTTTACTTAGAAAGTATACTTTGTCTTACAAATATCAGAACTTCATGAGCAGTAAGTTCATGTGCATTTCAGTGAATACTGATTGTTGAAGAACAGGAATGTATTTAGAGCATTCATTTTGCCACATTAAAATGAAAATCTTGGGCTGGATGTCTCTCAAGTGGTAGAATACTTGCCTAGCATGAGTTCAATACCAAGTACAGCAAAGGGAAGAAAAAGGAGGATCCTTTTTATTCTTTCTTTAATAGTTGAATATTTAATCTTATTTCTCTCAAAGTGTTACTTTTTGGATAGTATTAAACATTTGATATTCTTTTAAAAAATTTTTTTGGTGGTACTTGATTTGAACTGAGTCTTGTGCTTGCTCAGCAGACATTCTTCTGCCTGAGCTACAACCCTAGCCTTCTTGCTTTTGTTATTTTAGGTAGGGTCTGATGGTTTTCTGTTTGGGCAGGCCTGGAGTGCCTATGCTTCCTGCATAGCTGAGATGAGAGGCATGCTCTACCATGCCCAGTTTTTTGTTGAGATGGGGTCTTGCTAACTTTTTGTTCACTGGTCTCAAACTGCTATCCTCTTGATTGCTGCTTCCCAAGTAGTTGAGATTACAGATGTGAGCCACTGCACTTGGCTTGATATTGTTTGATTTTAATTAGTGACAGGAAAGGAATATTTTTCTCTAACAAGTACCTTGAAATTGTTACCTTTTCTTACTACTGTTCTCTAATAGACTGAAAAACAGAGAAAAATGGCTTTCTTAAAATTGGCTTTAGAATAGTAGTTGTTTGTTTCATTTCCTAGTATTTGATTTACCAACCCAGTGTTTTTGTTTTCTTTTCCCATCAGGTATTGCCAAATGCCCATGCCCATGGGCTACAATCCCTACGCGTACGGCCAGTACAATATGCCATATCCACCTGTTTATCACCAGAGCCCCGGACAGGCTCCATACCCAGGACCCCAGCAGCCTTCATACCCCTTCCCTCAGCCCCCACAGCAGTCTTACTATCCACAGCAGTAGTAGTTCTGCTCAGAAGCTCAGCTGGTTCAGTTCAGAGGGAAAGAAATACCGACCCTGCAATAAGTGTACTAAACTCTACGCTCTGGTTAATATAATGTACTTTACTGTACTGAATGCAGTGTGTAATTTCTGTCTGCGGCTAAAAGCTGTGCCCCAGTTCCACAATTGATTGCATATATGAGATTTTGCTGCTATTGCAGTATAAATACTAGGTATAATAAGATTTGAAATAAATTACATTATAGTTCATAAAAGTTGAAGATGAGAAATTAAACCTGCAAGTGAAAAGTTTGAAACTAGCCTACTTTCTACATAAGATGCATTGGGGAGATCAGATACTGATGGTTCAAGTTTTCTTTCTCTTTTGGTTTATTGATTTGGTTTAATTTCCTTTATGATATTTTGCATAATCAGTGCATTGTAAATCTTATAATTTAAAAATAAATTGCTTAAGAACAGTTGTCATTGTTATGTTTTGTCATTGATTCTCATTATTGTCTAATTTCTTTCTGGTACTAGTCTCTCATTTTGTATGTTCACAAGTTAAACATACTGTGTTTAAGTTGCACAGACAGTGCAAGTTAATAGTCAGGTTCAAGACATAGGAAAACCAAAAGGGATAGTACTATAATTTACCTTTCATATGCTGATTAATAAGTTAATTTTGGCATTTATTTTAAAAAGTCCTATAAAGTAGAAGAAACATGCAATTGTTACCAAAGATTCTTCAAATAAATATACAAATAAGTATGTGTATTTAATATTTTATTGCTAGCTTCTCTGGGATTCATGCAAATTCTGGTAATAATTCTTTCAATTTTTTTCATAATCTGCTTAAAATATATGTCATTGACAGTACTGTCTAATACAATACAATTGTTGGGCAGAAATTTACTGCACCCTTCTATTTCTTTATTCCAATTTACTGTCTAGTAACATTTAATATACAATGTGTTTTCATAGATCTTACCCCCCCTTTTTTTGGGCTCCTAAAAAATTACGCTATTTTATAATTTAGGGAGCATGCAGATAACTGTTGGGAACATATACCAATTTTGAAATAGACCGTGTACTTGATATTAGTCTCTGCTATGAGGGTATGTAGTCACTGTATAAACCTTAGTAAAAAGAAGCATACGGAATGAGAAATGAGAAAGACGCAAGCTGTCCAGAGTTACAGTGGGGTCTGTTCTGTGTGAGGTTTGTTTCTGAACACCTGAGGTATATGAGCAGATTTTTAATGAATCAATTTATGTTTATTTCTGAGTTTTTAATGTTGACCTTTTTTTGCATTATTGTTTCATTTAAATGATGTCTCTTGGTCCACTGTTTTCATTGATAATTTAGATTTATATTTTAAATGTTAAGACTGAAGATATGATTGTAAAAGGGAGTAAATTGATTTAAAAATATATGTATACTTTAAAGAATCTTACTTTGTTGTATGTGGGAAACACAAAGACATGTTGATTCAATATACATGGCTGATTACCTGGAATATTGAAATTGGTTTAAAGTCCAGTCGTTAAACCTTGGCAAAAATAGCTTTTTTTAAAAAAAATATATCATTGATAAGTTTTACTATTTTGGATTCATCAAAAGTCTGAGATGGGATTGTTTGACTCCTCTGTAAATGCCATTTAAGTTCTACATTCTCACCAGTAGAGATATATTAGCATAAAACAACCAGTGAGAGTTAGAGATATCCCAAATTGCTAGTTTATACTTCTTACTAATCAGAAACAAGGAAAAACAAAAAATTGGCCTGAATATTCTCTTGGGGAAAGAGGGCACTAAAGGAAGGGGTTAAATGCATCAGAGGGCCAAAAGAGCAGTGTAAGGCCAGTTAGTCCATTCCCTGTGCCAAGCCGGGTTTACTTCCAGAAATCTGGCAGGAGGATGGCTCAGAAACCCTAGGAAAGGAGCCTCACAGCTCCCTGTGGCAGTTTTCTCCCAGCACACCTGATTCCTCAACTATTAGCAAAGCCTTTTATGTAGCAGCCCAGATCTGTCCTCTCTTGTCAGTTCACTTACTCTTTACAATGTTAAAGATATTTTCCTTTGATCACCTGTTTAGGTTCTGTTGACCGTTTCTGCAGTCTTCACTGGCCTGCCTAGTTTCAGAAGGAGACATGGAAAAGAGCCTTCTCTTAGGTTTATTTTACATTCTAGCAACAACAAGGAAGTCCCCTTTGGGGTTGTTTTTGTTACCAAACTTTTTAATCTTTTGCTTAGCTTCCTATGTTCCACAAAATATTCTAAAAATTTATGGGTAATTCTATTTATTTGGAGATAGGAGGGTTTTACTCTGTGGTTCTGGTATGTTGTTCCCAAGTTTACAGTTAAGCTTCCCCTCACCCCCATCAGATTTTGGGAACTGACCTCAAGCTATTGATGTTGGGCTTTGAAATATTGTTACAAAATGGACTGTACTTCAAATAACGAAGCTCTGCAAAGAGGACCTAGCTAGAACTGGAAGAAAAGTTGTTTAACTTCTATTTCTTGTTCTTGGTTAGAGGCAGATGGTCTGACTTCTCAGTCTGGTGCAAAGCATTGGTCTAAGCAGAGCTATTCCCATGCTTCTTGGTCTTTATTATCAGTTGAGAAAAGTAGTCATATTTCACTGCAAAGTCTTTGTTAGCTATCTCTGTACCCAGACCCCATCTTTTTTGAAGTTTTTAATGCCCCCCAAATGTAATGAGTTACAGAAAAATGAACATGCTTTACAGTCTTTGTCCCCAGTGCTCTGTCCCAGTCAGCAGCCTGTTCAGTCAAAACAGATTTTAAAATGTTTTCCATTAGAGCTTTACAGTTTGCAAAGTGCTTTGTATGCATTTTCTAATTTCATAAGCAGGATAAAATATAATTTATTCTGTAGGTTTCAATTTGCTAATGGGGATTTTTTTTCTTTTTATGATTAGTGTATCTTGAAGAGTTGCTACAACCCAGTGGCATCTCATTTTTAAAAGACTTCTGCAATTACTAGTTGATTCACAGTATAGGACAGGATACAAAGCAGGAGAAAAAGCCTGTCGTAGTGTTATAATTGCTGGTTTAAATTAGATTTTTGAACTAAATGGTTGATTATAAGATTTACATGAAAGCAAAGAAGGAAAAATTATATTTTTAAAGAAAGAGAATATTCAGGCTTTATTTCTGGTATGAAGTTTATATTTTTAAAAAAATCCTATATTATCACACCAGAGATTTTAGATTCTTTTCTGGTTGCAAACATTGCTGGTAGTTGGATTATATTTTTATTGTATTCATTTCTCTTAGGGGGAAAATTGTAAAGAAACAAAAAGATTCCAGATGAATGTATCCTAGAAATAAAAGTTGAAAGATTCTTACTTCCTTGGAGTATGAATTCTTATTTAAAGTGTTTCTTTCAGCTCAATAGTTTCTGTAATTTTTTTTTTTTTTTGTGATACTGGGGTTTGAACTCAGGGACTCATGCTTGCTAGATAGGTGCTCTACCACTTGGGCTACTCTGCCTGCCCTTTTTTTATGTTGGGTATTTTCAAGATAGGGTCTCATGAACTATTTGCCTGGGCTGGCTTTGAACCTCAGTCCTCCTAATCTCTGCCTCTTGAGTAGTTTGGATTACAGGTGTGAGCCACCTGTACCTGCTAGTTTCTGTAATTTTGCTTAACAAAATTACAAAATTACAAAAAACATACCCATTTTGATTAAACGCGTGAGACTACAAAAGGAAGACTTTAATTTTTTCTTTTCAAAATAGCTGTCAGTTGATTTAATTGCCATGGGAACCATGTTTTTCATTAACTGATCTACCTCAGTTCTTGGAGATATGTATTGTTTTTAAGAGGTATTGTTTGGGCTAATTTTTGTAAATGATCAGGAAGATTACCATAATCAGTTGGTCAGAGGAGGGAGGTAGCAAAATATGCTCACCTTTTAAAATACAGTTTTTTTCTGCTTCTCCAGTGTTCTTTTTAACATTCTTATTAGCATGTATTAGTTGTACAGGGGGATTTATTGTGACATTTATGTTTGTGCTTACAATGTATCTTGATTAGCTTCACCCCCTCCATCATTCTCCTTTATCCCCCTCTCTCCACTTCTTAAACCAATTTTAACAGGTTTTACTCTCCATTTTCATGCACATAAAGCACATTGATATTTGCCCTCCTTCACTTTCTCCTTTTATCCCCCTCCTTGCAACTGTTATCCACCCCAGTACAGGACCTGTTTTACCTTCCCATCCTTCATTTTTTAAAGTATATATTGATTGTTCAAGGGGGTTTTGCTGTGGTGTGTCACACATACATGTATTTTAATTAGAATAATTCCCTCTGTTTTCTTTTTTCTATTACCTTACTCCTTTTTTATTCAACAGCTTTCAGAACACTGTTATACCATCTTCATACAGATGTATTTTGATACTATTTGCTCTATCTTTTCCTCTCCTGCCTCCACCTAGTCCCCTCAGACAGATCCACTGTTACAGTCATGTTTTCTCTCTCTCGTGTGTGTGTGTGTGTGTATAATCATACGTTTATCTTTTAGATTTATCTTTCACATGTGAGGGAAAAAAGTGACCTTTGCCTTTCTGAGCCTGGCTTAGCTTAACATCATCTCCAGTTCCATTTACCTGCATAAAACATAATTTCATTCTTCTTATGGCTGAATAATACTTCATTGTGTAAATATACCACATTTTCTTAATCTGTTTATCAGTTGTAGGACATCTAGACTGTTTCCAAAGCTTAGTTATTGTGAATGGTATTGCAATAAACACGGTGTGCAAGTGACTCTCTTGCATCCTGGCTTACATTCCTTTGGTTATAATGGAGGAATGGTATTGCTGGGATCTTATCATACGTCTAGTTTTAATTTTTTGAATAACCTTTATATTGCTTTCCATAGTGGTTACACTAATTTGCATTCCCACCAATAGTGGACAAGGGTTCCTTTTTCCCGTCTTACCCTTATCCTCACCAGCATTTGTTGTTTGTATTAGCAATGATAGTCATTCTGAGTAGGGTGAAGTGAAACCTCAGTGTCATTTTGATTTGCATTTTCTTTACGGCCAAGGATGGTGAGCATTTCATCATTTGTTTATTGGCCATGCGCACTTTGAGTATTGTCCAATTCATTTGCCTGTTTCTTCATTGGGTTGTTGATTCTTTGTGGGTTTAGTTTTTGGAGCTCGCTATAAATTCTGGTTATAAATCCCTTGTCAGATGGATAGTTGTAAAGATTTTCTGCTATTCCATAGGCTTTCTTCAGTCTGGTGATTGTTTCCTTTGTTGTGCAAAAGCTTTTTAGTTTGATGCAGTTCCATTTGTCAATACTTTCTCTTAATTGCTCAGCTATAGGAGTTCTATTCATAAAGTTATTATATGTATTCCCTGTTTCTGTAGTGGTTTCACAGTTTTATGTGTTACGCTAAGATCTTTGATGTAGTTTGAGTTGATGCTAATACAGGTGAGAGACTGGAATCTAGTTTTAATGTTCTACATGTGAATATCCAGTTTCCCAGCACCATTTGTTTGAGAGACTATCTTTTCTCTAATGTATGTTTTGGACTCCTTTGTGAAAAATCAAATGATTATAGCTGTGTGGGTTTGTATCTACATCTTCTGTTCTGTTCCATTAGTCCTCATGTCTGTTTTTGTGCCAGTACCATGCTGTGTTTGTTACTGTGGCTCTGGAGAAGAGTTTGAAGTCAGGTATTGTGATACCTCTAG